AATTCTGAACTATGCCAACATTTTAGGTATGTTACATCATATTATAAATTATATACAGATTTGCTGCAGAACTTTTTTATTTCTCATAAGTTTAACAAGTCTGTTACGCAGCGCAGAGACTATAACATTTGTTTCGTTATAATTTATTCTTAATATTATTGTTGTGTAAGTAATTTTCTGCAAAATGTATAAAATCAGCAAAGGAATATAATTCGTACATGAATCATATTAACGCACATGAAATAAAGTAACACTCAAAAAAGAGTTTTTTTTATGTTTGGTTTTCCTCATAAAGGTAAGCAGCCAAAAAAGTTCTTATGCTTTTATATTATGTTATAATAGAAAAATAATGTATATGTAAATGTGTATATATGTATAAATAATTAGGGCTCGATTAGTTTACAGCCGTGGGGATCGACACATCAGACATAATGTAAACCTAAAGTAAATAAAACAAAAAATACTGACCAAGTTTAGATTTTTGCGCAAATCACCCAATTTCGGTGAAATTTAATGTTTACATTCAGAATGTTAACACCATAAACTTATAAATTTTTTTGGGAATTTCAGGGCTCGGAAACAGAACCAGGGGATTTGGTATCATATCTATGGAGCTAATTAATGAAATTTCTTAAAATTAAACATTTGAGTTCTGTTTGCTACCAAAACTAACTGACGATTTTTTCAGGGACCAAATGGTTAGCATAAAATGAGCCTCTGATATGAGTTAAAATTATATTATTTTACGTATGTTTACTAAAAAGCGTTCTAGCCTCTCTAAAATTTATGAGAAGCATTTAAAAGACATTTTTGTAGTCTCATGCAACATTTTAGCTAAACTAGACAATGGCTTGTGGTCAGTTATGTGTTGACCACATCAATTTTTTTTTTGTTTTATGTAGATCAACATAATGCTTGCAAAGGATATAATTAAATTTTGTTAGTTATTATGTGAAGTTACCCTCTTTAAGTTTTAATTTTCGTTCCCTCGTTAAATAGAATATTAATGTACATACGTTAATATTTTGACACGTTGAGTCTCAATGTATTACCGGTGACCAAGTTTAAAATGCCAAAAATGGTGGACATTATAAAACCTTTTAAGTACTTTACTTTAAGTAACGCAAAGATAAATTTGATTTCTACGAAAATTAATGAAATTTCTAATTAATGAAATTTCTTAAAATTAAACATTTGAGTTCCGTTTGCTACCAAAACTAACTGACGATTTTTTCAGGGACCAAATGGTTAGCATAAAATGAGCCTCTGATAAGAGTTAAAATTATATTATTTTATGTATGTTTACTAAAAAGCGTTCTAGCCTCTCTAAAATTTATGAGAAGCATTTAAAAGACATTTTTGTAGTCTCATGCAACATTTTAGCTAAACTAGACAATGGCTTGTGGTCAGTTATGTGTTGACCACATCAATTTTTTTTGTTTTATGTAGATCAACATAATGCTTGCAAAGGATATAAGTAAATTTTGTTAGTTATTATGTGAAGTTACCCTATTTAAGTTTTAATTTTCGTTCCCTCGTTAAATAGAATACTAATGTACATACGATAATATTTTGACACGTTGAGTCGCAATGTATTACCGGTGACCAAGTTTAAAATGCCAAAAATGGTGGACATAATAAAACCTTTTAAGTATACTTTACTTTAAGTAACGCAAAGATAAATTTGATTTCTACGAAAACAAAAAGTTTATATATGTATGTAAAATTTTATATATGTAAATTTTATATATGTATGTAGCTCCTTTACTTATACATACACTTAGTTTTTCTAAATTGTAGAATTATATACCTGTGGTAAGTCGCTCGTACGTGAGTACGAACTGGTCGAAGCCTTTTAGACTTACTCATTGGTTACACAATGGAATTTAAAGTAACTACTTTTAACAGTCGTGAAGCTCAGTGTGTCAATTTTGTTTTACTGTTTTCAAAAGTATTTGAAAACTTATAGTAGTATAAGTTTCTAATACTAGTATAATTCATAATCCTTGTGCATATTATTAAAAAAAAAAAAACAAAATAATTTTGTTTTTTTAATAATAATTACCATAACCACTGTACCATTGTTTTGACAGCAAAGTAATATGTACATAATATATGCATTGTCGGAACCGGAATGATATATTTTTACCTATACTCCACCAAATTCCATATTTCGAGTTTTCCACGGAAATGGGTTTCTTCACGCTAGGGAAGCGTAAATAAACTATTTTAAGAGAGATGCATTTCGGTCTGACAGTAAATCAGTTTGTCTGTGCAGATAAGTATCTCAAGCTCGGTTGGATCGATTTGTTTGAAATTTATATTTAGGTTTACTTTAAGGATGAGACGATTTGGTTAGCTTTTGTAATATGTCAGATCTCTGAAACAGGATCTATATAAGGTGCCGACTTTACGTTTTTGAATATATTTAAGAAAATAATCAACGTCTTTTCCTGAAATTCTCTCTATAATCACTGCATGACAATACAAACACTGATTTAACTTTTTTAAGGAAAACAGGTATCAGCAAGTGAACTTAAAACTACGAGACAAACTTACAGTTTTCCCTAATTTAAATATTTGACCATTTCACTATGGGCCGATTTTACTTATTTGACCATATCTCAGGAATTTCTTGAAACATAATTTCAAGTTCCTAACGAAATTAACTACAAAACTTTGCAGGGAAATCAATTCACTGAAAATGAACCTCTAACGAGAACCGAAAATTTACATTTTTGTATGTAATGTGCATAGAAAGGTGTAATTTTTTTTAAACTTTCACTTACCTACTTTCTATCTTTCATAGCATTTGATTAAAAAATAAATATTAAAAGGAAATTTTCAAACTGTTATGCAATACTTTAACAATGGGATCGGTTATGTGATGGCCTGACGACCACATCAGATTTTTTTTTAAATTCTTGAAAAAATGGTTTCTTTTATCTTATTGGGATCATAATAATTTTAGTAGTAAAGGATGTTAATTTGGGCGTGAGAATAAACCTTTTTTGCAATCAATTTTTCGTGTACGTATATTTCAATTAGGATTCATTTTCTTTTTGACCTACTTTATTATAAATATAAATACAATAAAGAAAATTTTTAAAGTACACTAAATACACTGCCCGAAGTTTTACAGCCCGAGGTTTAGTCATTTCTTAATCGTAATAACTTTGTTGAGATTTTTTTATTGTTTTGAAGTTTGCAGATATAATTGATGGTAATATAATAATATAAATCTAGGGTTATCTGTCAGAACATGATATCTACATTTTTGCCATTTCGAGTAAGACACCATTGAGTTTATTTTTTGCAATATTTTTGTTCTGCTAAAACATTAACTAGCGAAAACTTAGAGAAATAGTTTAAAAAGTTAGCATTTTAAAATGTTCCTATTAAATATTACATTGTATGAAAATTTTAACATATAGCAAATAAGATATACTTTTTCCAATTACAATTCGTATCAATCAGAACTGAATGATTTCACTTATCTAGTTTTTAAATGAGCGTTTCACCTTTGTTAAAATAACCACCATGAACATCTAAATATGAAATGAAATGAATATGTGAATAGATGGTTCACTTTCAACTTGAAAAGAAACGGTAAAAAACTAGAATATATTTTCATTTCAAAAGTGTATAACATGACAAATCTATATTTCAACGCCTTCTTAGAAAATTTTATGATCTCGAGAAGTGAATAACAGTTGGTATCTAATTTTGTCAGAAAATTTTTGGAACAATTGGTTAGTTATAATGAATTGGTTAGTTATAATCTTCAAGGATTTTTTTTTAACTACTGGAAAAATTAAAGTTTTTTCTAAAAAAAAATTTTCGCTTAAAATTTTAAGTAATACTGTATTCATAATTTTTTTTATTTCATAAATGTAAGAAATACATATATTCGAGTGAATCATAAGTGTTATATGTCTATATATCATCTTTAAAATAGTTAATATAAACAATGAATAATAAATAAAAAGCCTATTGTTAACATAAGCAATGAAACATTGACTTTTGACACATGATAATCAAAATGAAAAACCAAAATATGCCTGATCCGTTTGAAAACAATTCCATCTAAACATCTAAATACATAATAGCTATAATATGCAATAAAGAATAACAAAATTTCATTATTCAAAACTAAAAACAAAAATTAAATTATCTTTATATATGTATGTATATATTTTTTACACTTATGTATTTATTTTTGATGGCTTGTTAATAACTTATATATTAAATGATATAATAATCGTTAATTGCAGTTTTTTTCTGAACCATTGAACTTGCAACGTAAATTAGAAAATATTGAACTTTTAGCTTTGTTAAAATATTACTTCTTTGCTTGTGTCGTTATACGAGTAATTTATTGTTATATGAAATAATTTCGAACTTTATTGGTACTACTGCAAATAAATAAACCGAATTTTTAAAAAACTAATTAATGGGGTTTCTTAAAATTTAATATTTGTTTATTAATGATCCTTAAAGAGGAAAGTTTTTCATAAAATTAGGGTCTCAGAAATTGAACTTTTACTAGTGGTCGACTTTATATTTTCGAACAAATTTCAAGAATTTGTTGGTGAAACTTCTTTTAATTTTGTTTATTATAGATCTGTTTATAAACGAACTTAACCGACAAAACGTTCGATATCAAATATAAGGAGGTCAGCCTATTCAAAGAACCAAATTATCATTTTTGGAAGTATTTTAAATTTAAGGCTACTAATTTTCTTACAAGCTTTGTCCTTTTACTAGAACATTTTATGATCTTTAAACCCTTATAAAGAAATTTCAAGTTTTTTAAAATCTTTCGTTTTTTTGCATAACAGCTTTGTAAATACATAAAATTAGAGCTATTTGATTTTGCATCCTTTAGCAAATTTACAATGTGATGGATCAAATTTTTTAAACTTCAAGTACCTAGACATTTCTTAAAAGTGATAGGACAATTACTAGTCAAATTGTTTTAGTTTTTAAAATCTGACCTTTCTGATTTTTTAAACTACTGATTTAATTGAATGTAAAAAAGTCATAATTTTCACTTCACTCGTAAGCGGAACGAAATTTTTTGTTTTTATAGTAGAATAGTTGTAATAAAATAAATTTAAACATTTTCCTTGCGGTTTTCCAAATAAATTAAGGGAAAAATCAGTTTTAGAACGTAAATTTTTTATGTCGATTGTGATTTTGTATGAACAAAATTTGGACATAAACATGTTTTGTATCTCAATCGCAAATAAATAAAAATATGCAAAAGAATTAATTAGAGCATATTCCAATAATGTTAAACCAAATGTTTCGCTTTCTTGAGGTAAAGAAATTGTTTATGTTGTTTGTAGCATTACAGTTTGTACCACTTGAAGAACAGAAAATTTTACAAATATTATGTCAAATAACTTCATTATAAATTAAGATTTGAAAAATTTCACTATTTAATTTCATCATAAATTTACACTTTATCAGTAGAAAAATTATAAAAATAAAAATTTTAACATTCGCGAATGTTAATTTTAATAAAAAATTAATTTTTCTTATAACGAAAGCTGTGTAATATTAAATATACATAATTTAATAATTTTAAACTGACCGGGGTTTGAAACTAAGACTCTTCTGTTAAAGGACCGGTGCCATAACCACTGCAACAATGGACAGGTAAAAAAGAAACCTCAACATTGTATCTTCTAAACAGCCCTTTATACTATAGGTTCAAGTTCACTTCAAGAGCAACTAAAACTGTGGTAAAAAATTTTGCGGTATGGTAAATCGCTCATATTATCAAACAAACGAGAATGCAAATTATACGCAAATCTATTTAAGAAAAGAAAACTGAATAAAAACCTTCTTAGAAGGTATTAAAATTTACTATTTTCAAAATGATTAATTATGAAAAGCATTTTATCAGCTACCTTGTTATTGAAAGCAAAATAGCTTTTCTATATACCACAATTTAATTCGAAGTTATTATTGAGACTAAAAAATTTTTTCTATTATTTTGTAAATGGAATTTTTGTAGCATACCTGGTCTGAATCCTCCTGCGCATGTTTACTATCGGAATTCATAGTTTGTACAGATAATTCAGAAGCCCCTATAGGACATGATGATTCTGTTCCAACTGAATCAATTGTACTAACTGAATTTCTTATGTGTAAGTCATCATCATCGTCATCTTCACTTCCCGAGCCCATCAAAGAATCTTGAAAGAGAATAAGAGGGAAAAGAAATATTGTATAATTATTCTTACATATCTTCTTATTAATATTATCCTAAGTAAGATCAAAGTATATCTAGTAAGAAGTAGTTCGACTCTCCGTTTACATCACACTAATGAAATCACTCACCAATATTTGGTGATCACTCACATATAGGGTAAAATTCCGTTTTTTGACATTATCCGTTTAAAGTGTGTGCGGTTTTATATACAAAATACTGAACACTTGATTTTAACGTTCCGCTGTTGTTCTGTGCTTACAACGGAAATCGTCCGCAGCTGTCATTCACCACTTTAATTTTGTTTTTAAACTTACGTACATACTATATACCCTTTCGTATCTTAACACATATAGTCCCAATTAACAAGCAGAGTTCCAATCTGAGCATTTTTTAAACATCAAATTTATTGTAAAATTGAATAACTTGATACCATAAAAACAAGTTTAATTTCTTTCGAAGAAGAAAAACCCTATTTAAACCTAAAGTATTTTTAAAAAATTTAGTTTCATTAAATTTGAGGATTTCACCTGTGACACAGGGGTTTGTGGTTTTTTGATTTGCTAAATTTTAAGATGCTGGAATATATGTAACATACAATGAACTTTTGTTTTTTGTATTATTTGGATAAGTATGTAAAGAGGCCATCGTGATCTTGCATATGTACATATTTATTTAAAAAACATTCCATATTCTATGTTTTGTGATAAATCAACTTAGGTTAATATCTTATGTATTTACGTACATTGTGTTGATTTGAAAGCAAATTTATTTTTGCGGTGTAAGTTGCAAAGTTTTTGTGTTTGTATAAATTATTTTTTTTAATGTTAGGTGTACATTTCAGAGAAACTTATACACCGTGCTCTTTGAAGTGCTTAAAATTTTAGTGATTTTAGTAAGTAAATTTACAATGTATCATATTCCAAAATGTATGTTAAAAGATATTCTACATTATTCTAAAATGTATCGAATACGCATTCGAAATGTAAAGGAAAAGCAAAGTGTGAATTAAATTATAAAAAAAATTGGGACTACTTTTTGTACACACGTCACAAAAACACTATTATAATAAATTATTTATTTACACAAATTTTCAAAAAAAAAAATTTATACTGTGTTGGAAGTCACGGTTACTTTAGAGAAAATTTTTTTCATATTCCTGCTCCCCCCAAAGCTATACTCTTTGAAAATCATAAAATTTGTCAAATCACTGTGGGCTAGCTTGAGATAATTTGTGTCTTGTAGTGGAAGTGCAAGCAAAATTCATTGATTTACCCGAACGGAAACTTAAAAACTTATTATTTCCTTTATTAGTTTCTTTATATTATTTTTATTATGTTCGTCTTTATTTTAGGGGACACCTTGGAACGGCTCATTTTCGAACCCTTATTATATGAGTTAATAAAAACACTATAATAATTAGAGTGCTTTTACAATTTTATAATTTAAGTTTTATAAATTTAAACTTACATTCTATAACTTAAAATCTAATACAATTTTTGTTAAATTTCTTTTATTTCGTGTACGTCGTGAACTACGTATATGTAAATATAATTCATTATTTTGTTTTATTTAGTGTACTATCATTTTACGTAGTTTTGTAAACAATTACAATATTAGACGTACATACGTAAGTATATTATGTCATTATGATTTTGCGAACGCACAAATGTTATTTTAGTTTTTAGCTTTATAATATTGTATTAAGTGTTCCAATAACTTTTGATTTTTATTGTAGTATATAGTACCTACATAATCAGAATGCAGGGATGTACTTCAAAATGACAACTATAAAGTCTAAGCTAGTTACGCCGAGTCAAACATAATCAAGATATTCAGCAACACTTTAAAATTTTGCAGTAAAGTGGTAGATTTTGGTAGGCAACAGACTCAAAATTAAAAGCTAAAACAATTATATTTTATTTACATAACATTAAAGCATCTTTTTGTCAAATGTCAAATTTTTAAGTCAATACTTGCATGCTCATTGTGTTTATAGTTTAAACTAAAGCAGAGAAATTAAATTCATAAAGAATTCCAAGAGTCTAAAAAGATTTTTTTTTTCATTTTTATTAAGGGATAATGATTGGTTCTTCATCATAACAAACTGTAGTTTGTTTGAGCTCGCAAAAATAAAAAAAAAAAGTTTTTTTAGAAGACGCAATGAAAGAATATTATGATAATCGACTAATACTTTGATTTTCTCTAAAGTAGAAGAATTATAGTTTGCATTACAGTTTAAGAAATTTAGAAAGTATGGGAAACTTTACCAAAGTATTATACCCAAACACTATAATATTTATTTCAACCTTAAATATTGATTAATGAGGTTAGTTTCAATACTTAGTAAAAACGAAAAAAAATAGAGTTGATCGTGTCAACTCTGCGATAGCCGTACGATTTTGCTATCCTATGTGCGAATAAATATGTCATAGCTGACTATGAGATAGACTATAACTTTAAGTTACCATATTAATTTATGTAAAATATCAGTACTGTTCGATAATTCGGTATGTTCAATACTTTTCAATATTAGCTAAGATATGGCCAAACTACTATTGAAGTTGTATGCCACCTACCAGAAAGAGCCAAGCAATTTCAATGAATTTTATCAAACATATTGGCCCAACTAATTTATTCGCTTGTGTGATATTTTTATAGCTTCTTAGATATAGTCAAATAAATTTAGAAGTTATATATCAGCTACCAGAAGGAGCCATGGAATTTCAACGGCTTTTGTCAAACACATTGGCCCTACTAAGATATTTACTTATTCCAAATTTTAATACCACAGCCTTTATAGTTTCTAAGATATAGTCAAATAAATTTTTAAGTTGTATGGCAGCTACCCGAACCAGTACCCCGATCATATCCAATTTAAACACAGTTCTGGTATTTACCATAATAAATCCTTTGTGAAAATTTGGCGAATTTAGCTCAATTAATTTTTGAGTTATCGCTGGGACGGACGGACGGACAGACAAAGCTAAATCGACCCAGAATTCGATGCTGATCAAAAACATACACTTGAGTCAATATCTAAGACCATTATTTCGTAGCGTTACAAACGGTAAGGCAAATTTAGTATACCTTTCGAACATACGATCGTACGGGTATAACAATTAAAAATGTTTCAGTCGGTATAAACCGGATACTTGCACTTTGACAATCTGAGTTTAAAAATTTGTTTTTGAAATATTTAGAAATAACTTTAATTGCTAAATGGCAATTACTTGAACCTGTCAAACCACTCAATAGAAACTTCACGGATATTATATCTGACCTAGAACTGGACAAACGACGACCGAGTTTCATGAATCTTAATATTTTTCCAAATATTTAAAATTAGTAATTCCAAATATTTAAAATATTTAAAATGAATGGTAGCTACCCGAACCTGTCAAGCAATTCCGCCAAAACTTTATAAATACATCCGACCTGAAATTGGACACACGATTGCTTAATTGGACAGTTATTTTATCTTTGCAAAATTTGATATAAATATCTCTATTACTTTTTGAAATATTTAAAAAAACTCCTGAATCTATGAAAAAAACTCCTGTGGCAGCTACCTGAATTCTAATAGCAGCCGTCGTTGGCGTAAAAGAAAAATTTTGTGAATGTTTGGAGTCGATGGCATTATTTGTTATATTTTGCGATCTGATGGACGGACGGGTATTTCTAAATGAACGCTGAATTTTACGCTGAGCAAAAATATATGTACATGTCCATACCGTAGACGACTCCTTCAAGCGATTACAAACCCAACACCAAAGGAAATATACCTTTGACGAAGTGCAGAGTATAGAAAGTTATGAGTTACAATTTCCAAAAAAAATTGTGCAAATAAGTGTACAAGAAAGGAATAATCAAAATACACAGAACCATATTTTATTACACATATTTATATTTATTTAATTTACAAATTTAAGTTTCATCAATATTATTCATTCCAATTCAAAGTATCCATTTTAGACCTTTGCTATTCTTTATAATGTGTTTCTTAACTTTTCCTAGTAAAATAAAATTTATGAGACTTAGAATTTTATTCGTCAATTTAACTTCAAAAATACAAAAATAGAACAGAATTACATTATTAATTACATTATTAATTAATACATTAATATGGGAACTAATCTGTCCCATAACAATACGGCCATAGTCTGCCCCATAAAGTCATATTAAGCTATGGCATATTTACTCGCACATAGCGTAATTCTATTCCTGTGAGTTTTGCAAAAACAGGAAAGGAATATCCAATATTTATTTAGTTTTTTTAATTCCTTAATTCCGACCGTATTGTGTTTACAATAGGTAGGTTAAGTGATGGCAACAAATTTTGCATATAGAGTGGCAACGCACTTCTCCATGGAAGTGTATATAAAATAAAGTATTTTTAGTAACCTCTCGGTCTGTATGTGCATGCGTGTATCTCAAGTTCAGCTGAACCAATTTTGATGAAATTTTATATGTAAGTTTATTTCGACTATGGCGCGGACCGATCAACTTTTGGAATATATCAGACTTCGGGAACTGCACTTTTTACGTAGACTTTCGGGAACTGGGCCTGTTTTACATTTTTGATCATTATGAAGCAGATTTACTTGAAATATCATATATACATAAATTCATATTTTCATTCGTATCATAATTTCATATATGCATACATGAAATTTCATACTTCATACATACGCTTCGCTCGATCGTCCGCAAAACCTCCTAAGTTTTTCAAGAAATCAGGCGTCAGCAATTGGATGTTTACTACTGGCCAAATATACATTTTTGCGTATATAAAGAGAAATAATCAACCGATTTCGTTGAAATTTAATATTTAAATTCGAGTTGTTAAAACGATGAACATATAAATTTTTTTGGTAAGATCAGGGCTCGTATACTGATCTGAGGGCCGATTTTACATATTTTGAGAGCCAAATTTTAATTTTTCTAGGTATGTTAACTATAAGCTTACTAATGCCGTAAAAATTA